AACATTCAGAGCATAAAGTGCTTGGATATTTGCAGAAAGTGTTGCAGACAACAGGGCACTTGGGCCAGGAGCTTGAAAATGGCATTAAGCTGATTGGCACGTTCTTGGCTGTTACTGGCAAGATAGGCAGAATGGCCTCCTCCTCTGCCTTAAATTTCAAGCATTCTATAATTACAGAGCAAGTTCAGGGGAAATCCTTACATCTGTGGTTACAGCAGTTGAGTGGGTACAGCTATGAAGGAACTCGCCCGTTAAGCAGCCTTTATATAAGTTTTTCACCTTCCAAACGCTTTCCATGAATAATTCAGTCCCTGGACATTTTACACCAGTAATTGAGTCCTACGTCTGTTGAAAATAATTCAGTCCTGTGCAACTATTAACACTCACGATTGATCCCCTTTCTATTGTTTATATGAGTCAATCCCTTAGTATGTGTTGCATTAGTAATTTAACCCCTAAGCAAGTTTTACACCAGTAATTCATCCCATTAGTGTGCTTCGCAATAATAAAAGTACTTTGTCTTCACTCTGGCTTTCTGTGTATTTCTCGTCCATGTTTCAGCATCTCCCTGCTTCAGCTGATTTCTCCTCTTTGTTAGTGAAGTCACCAGCCTTTCACTTGAATGTTCGCGACACTTCTGTGGCCAGTGATGATGGCATTGTAAATCCACTCAGGAGAAGGTCTGGAGTTGTGACAGGGGTGTATAGAGGTCAATACTGGGTTCATGTCCAATGGACATTAGTTAGCCTCCCTCCAAGCACGAGGGACCCAGAAATTCACAGCGGGGCTATCAATATCTTAATAGAGAGAGTGAAACTCCTTATCAAAGTTGGGACAAAGGATTTTGCCTGAAACATTAACTTGTATTCTTTCCTTTCACAATTCTTTACGCATTACGGATGCATTAGACTGCCACAGTGACATCAAACTAAACACCAAATAAATGAACTGCCCTTTCTTTATCTGGGCAGAACTAGTAAGAATGTGACTGTAAGTAAAAGGAAACTTTAAAAACTAAGTATTATCTACCAAGATATACAGTAGGCCTCAAGTTAAGTGTGTGTCTGTCTGTAATAGTGACACTAATGGATTAAATATAATCAGAGGACATTGGCTGTTTGACTTGTCCTAATGATGCACCCGACCATCCCCAACCTTCCTGTTATCCCAGATCACACGTCACCCAACTATAAATGCTCCTTGGCCTCACTAATTTTGCTAGGTATTAATTAGACATTGTCCCCACCCTCTTGCAATGTCAACATGTATCACTGTCACAAGGGAACAGGTGCTTGGTGCTTCCACTGAAAGTACAGGTCCCACTGCTGAAATAGAGGGCTAGCAGGGGAAGGCTAGTGTCCAGCTCTAGTCAGGCATCGTGAAGTCCCAGCGACAGGAGAACAGGAATGGTGCAGCCCACAATCAGAGTCAGGCTCTCCAGAATCCCCAGGCCTTTCTTGCCACTGCTGCTGGTGACCCCGTGCTGAGTTTGACTGCTGACTTCAGGCAATACGTGCACAGACGCCACATACAGGAATGTCCCAGCAGAGAACAGCAGCCCGATGCCAGAGGCCTTGGTCTGGTGCAGTGGGCCCACGCTGCTCTGTGGAGGAGGTGGGTGAAAAAGAATGGTCAGACTCAAAGGACAGGCATCGGCTGTTCAACTGCACAGTGCATCGTATGCCAATATGCCAACACAGCTCCCGAATCTGCATTGGGATCCAACTGGTAAATGGACAGCACGGATTTAAAGCAAAGGAGAGCAAGAAGGAAAAAAGGCAGCAGTATAGTGATGAAGAACAGAACTGAGGGAGGGAGGGAGGGCACAGAGGAAGACAAAAGGTAAGTGAAAAGGACTAAGAAGAGAGGCATAGAGAGGTGCAGAAAGAAAGGCAAAGAAGAAGACAGGAAGTAAATGACAGGGAAGAAGGAAAAGTGAACAAAGGGAATGAAATAGGAAGAAGGAAGGAGAAATGGAAGAGGAAAAGAGGAAGATAAAAATACAAGAGGAAAAGAAACCTGATCTCAGTCCAGATGATGAAATCACCATCTGAACACAATTCTACTGAGAGAGACAGAGAGACAGCAGAGGAGGAGGGTGGGGATGAGAAAAGGGAGAAGATTAGAGGATTAGGATTTGAGGAAGCTGAGGACGTAGAAGGAGGTGGAGGGGGTTAGAGCAAGGAGTCGAAGTGCAGACAGGAGGAGTGTCTGCAGGCCTTACCTTGCTGACTATAAAGTAGGTGGTGACGGCGAGGAGTGGTGCTGCTAGGGAGAAGATGAAGAGGTGTTTCTGAATCTGTCTCTTCTCTAAACCAGCATGCATCAGATACGAAACCAAACCAAATGATGCAGGAGCCTGAAAATATCCAGCAGTAAGCATAGAGTGACAGGAAAACCTGGCAACCAATCTCATTGTTGTTCAATAAGAGATTTCATTCAAATATTCTGCACACCCTCTGTTAATATTTAACAAAACAACTTCAATGAGCTTTGAGATCAGAGTTTAAAAACCAGGGACATTTTTTTACAGTTGTGAGGATGTTGGTGATCCCACACCTGGAATATCTTGTATAGTTTTATTCCCCGTATTTAAGAAAGGTTACTCTGGCATTGGAGGCAGTTCAAAAGAGATTCACCAGTCTGAGTCCTGGGATAAAGGAGATTATTTGTCTCAAATATCTAAAGAGATCAGGCCTTTGAACGTTAAAAGTTTATAAAAATGAGAGATGATCTTATTGAAACATACACGTTTTTGAAGGGGCTTGATAGGGTAGATATTGAGAAGATGTTTCCACTAGCGGGGGAATCTCAGACTCTGGGACATAATTACAGAATAACAGGACATTCACTTAAAACTGAGATGCAAAGGAATTTCTTCTCCAAGGGGATAATGAATATTTATAATTCTGGAGCTCAGAGATTTGTGAAGGCTAGGTCACTGAAAGTCTTCAAAGAGGAGGTACATAGATTTTTGAGATACCAATGGGTTGAGGACTATGAGGGGCTGACATCAAAGAGGAGTTGAGGCCTATGACAAATGACCCAAAGTGCTCTCCAACTGGCACTTAGTCACTTGCCCAACCTCGTTTCCTAAAAGAAGGTCCAGTGTTGCACCCTCCTGAGTAGGGCCTCCTACATATTGATTTTGGAAACTTTATCAGATACATTTGACAAATTACACCCCATCAGGCTTTTACACTCTGGATGGCCCAGTCAATAGAGGGAAAATGAAAATCTCCAACCAATACTACTCTGTTATTCCTACAGGTACTGCAATCTCTCTACACATCTGCTCCTCTAGTACCCGCTGGCTATTTGGGGGTCTATAATACAGTCCCAACAGAGTGACCATCCCCTTCTTGTTTCTAAGTTCTAAACATATGGTCTCATTTGATGACTCCCTAAGAATATCCTCTCTAAACACTGTTGTTATGTGCAACTCCCCCTCTTTGCTTACTTGTATTTCTGTCATGCCTGTAGCTTCTGTATCCTGGAACATTGAGCTGCCAGCCCTACTCTTCTCTCAGCCATGTTTCTGCTATGGCTATAATATCCCAGTCCCCAGAGCCAATCCATGCTCTGAGCTCACCTCCCTTACCAGTCAGGCCTCGGGCGTTAAAATAAATGCACATTAAACCAGAAGTCTTTTCCCTCCCTTCACTGTGCCCCTGGCTGTCCTGAATAGTAAACTTGCTCTCGATGGCTAATGTATCTCTCGATGGCCCCTCTCTTACACAGGGTCCGAAACCCCTGCCAAACTAATAAAGAATTGAGACTATTTTCATGATGTACTCCTTATATTTTTAAAAAGTTTCTCTGTCATTCCCTTTGTGTCCTTAAATTCCCTGCTGAGCAGCACTGTAGTTGTTCCTGATGAAGGTAGTTCACCAACAACACTTCCTCATGGGCTATTAGGGAAGCTACTGACACCACATCTCGTAAATAATTTTAAAAGATTAAAAATCTCAAGGTGCTTTAATTAGAACATAGAACTGTACAACACAGGAACGAGCCCTTCGGCCCACGATGTTGTGCTGAACATGAAACTGATCCTTTCTGCCTGCCCTTGGTCCATATTCCTCCAATCCTTGGATTCATGTGATTATCTAAAAGTCTCTTAAAAGCCCCTATCGTATTTGCTTCAACCACCACCCTGGCAGTGTGTTCCAGACTCCTATTACTGTCTGTGTAAAAGACTTACCCCTTACATCTCCTTTGAACTTTACCCATTTCAACTCTGGGAGAAAGATTCTGACCATCAACCCTAACTACGCATCTCATAATTTTATAGACTTCTATCAAGTCTCCCCTCAGCCTCCGCCACTCTAGAGAAAACAACCCGAGTTTTTCTAGCCTCTCGTTATAGCTCATACCCTCTAATCAGGCAGCATCCTGGTGAACCTCTTCTGCTCCCTTTCCAAAGCCTCCACATTCTTCCTGTAATGTGGCAACCAGAATTCCTAAAGGCTGCTCCCAACTGAGGGCAGCTTGAAATGCAAAAGGAGATTTACTTGGCTGAACTGGACTATGATGTGGAGGTGCCAGTGCTGGACTGGAGAAGTCGGGGGGGAATCAAGGTCAGAAATCACACGACACCAATTTATAGTCCAAAAGATTTATTCAGAAGGAGTGATGCTCCGAAAGCTCATGTTTTCAGATAAACCTGTTGGATTATAACCTGGTGTCGTGTGTTTTGTGACCTTGAACTGGACTAGTCATACTAACATAGGGAGGTTTCCAGAAGAACAGGGCCAGATACAGGATACTCACCTCCTGAGACCTCCAATTTGCCAGGCAATTCCACCAACTGGGTGGTGCCCCAACAACACTCTAGAAGCTCGACACTGTCGACGCCTTTGATCCTGTCCCTGCTACTGAGCACAATCTCTACAATACTTGGAGCGAGAAATAACTTGTAGCACCTGCAACAATCTCAGGATGTCCCAAACAGTGCATGACTGTCATCGGAATACTTCCCAAAGTGTCGTGATCTGCCGATGCAGTGAAACACTGGAGCCGATTTGGCTACAGAAAACTGCCAGAAACAGCAATGAGAGAAATGCTGGCTGTGTGATAAATCAGGACTGGAGTCATTCACGGAGAAAGTCTCAGGACCACGATGGACAGGTGATCTTAGCTGGCACTGTATGAGCTGCAGCAACACCTGATTCAAAGCTAACTTGTCTGCTCACCTTATGAAGGATGACAGCAAAGAACACAATGACTTGGAGCGAGATCTGCGATGATCCTGCTGCAGTCCCAAGAGCCACACCATCAGCTGTGAGAGGGGAGTAACACCAGTTAGTCGAGAGGGCACATATAGCCAATGGCATGTAGCTACAGGAGATTGACTTTTCTAATTTGGAAGCTATTGTACAGTCATATCAAGTTCATCTTAGAGACTGTCACCTGTAGCACCACATTCAGCTTGGACACTGTTACACAGGAAGGTTAGATTGGCCTTGGAAAGGGCTGTAGAGCAGGTTCACCAGGAACTTACAGGAGATATTGGGAAGATTGTGTGGGCAATTTGGGCAAAATTAGCTTCTATTTCCTTTGGTTTAGGAAGTTGAAGAGTGATTTAATTGAGGTGTTTGAGGTGATGAGAGGGTCTCACAAGGTGAAACAATTTCCCCGAGTTGGGGAAGACTGGAACGAGGTACAAACTTAATATGAGAGCTGCACCTTACAGGATGACGTCAGGAGGCACTATTTCACACGTACGCTTGTGGATATCTGGAAAGCTCCAGACAGAATAGAAACATAACAGCAGCAGGAGGCCATTCAGCCCTCAAGCCTTACAATAGGTTCGAAAAATTCAAAAATCTGTTGAGGGGCATGGTGAGTGGGGTTGCTAGTGATTGTAATGAGGTCGGCCTGGTGGACCTCATGGAATATAAGTTCCCTGATTGGGGCTGGTAACCTGGTCTAATCAGGGAGCCCTGGATGACAGACATAAACATGAGTGTCAGAGGCTCTGTTCACTCCAAGAGCTGGCTCTGAGGAAGGACTCTCCAGGTGTAAATGAAGGGTGACTTGGTGATGGGATACCGGCCTCTGTGGAGTTATTTCAGGATGAAAACTGGTTTGAATCTCTAAGTACAAGATAAACATGGTTTCCAGGCAGCAGACAGACAGACAGACTGACTCACTGGGAAATGATGCTTGCTCCATTTGTGTGGATTTGTTTCGAGATCTGGGAGTACTGGATTGTACACACAACTCTTCCCACTCCTGTATCTCTCTGTTAGAGAAAGAAAGGTTCTACCTTCTGTCCCAGAGAATGGGAGAGTGCAAAAGGAGACCTGGTGAGAGTGGGAAAGAGGAGAGAGGGAGAGAGGCAGAGACAGAGCAGGAAACAGCGAATGTGAGAATGGGCAAACGGGAGAGACCATGGGAAATAAATGGGCAATAAATGCTGGTCAGTCAGCAATGCCCACATCCCACAAATGAATAGAAATTTTAAAAAAGTTGCAGAGCAAAAGACACAGAGTAAGAAAGGGGAGAAAGTGACAGACAGGCAGATTGGGAATCTTCTGAATGAATTTGTAGTTTGAGGTTGATTTTCTGTCAGTGTGACTTTTCAATTTGTGAGGAATTTACATGAACGGCTGATGAGGATAAAGCCATTGACGTGGTTTACATGGACTTGCAAAAGGCACTTGATATATTGTCAGACAAGACTTGTTAGCAAAGTTGTAGCTCATGGAGTTAAAAAGGACAGCAGCAACATGGGTATGTAATTGGCTCAGAGACAGGAAACAGAGAGGTGTGCTGTCAGCGGATCTTAATTCATCTGTTTTCCAGATTGACAGATGACAATTTGGAACAAAAGTTGTGAATAACAACACTTTCGTTGGTGACAGCAGACATAGGGAGGCAAAGTGACCTCAGCCATCACATTAAAACAGCAGGTGAGCTGAGCATTTCAATCGTTTTTAAATAAAAACAGAATGAAGCTGCTTTTCTTTTTGTGTGCAACCTTGTCTGATTTTGTCCATGTGACCCCCCCAACAGGAAAGGGCTCTCCAGCCCCTGGTTTAAACACAGCATCCACACTCCACTGGGAACCAATAGCTTGTAGTGTGGGGGAATTAAGACCATAACGGTATAGGAGCCTGAAGGGCTTAATGGCCTATTCCTCCTCCTATATTTCTGTGCAGAGACGCAGTGGGATACCTGCAGCATGAATAACCAGGCCAAGTGTTGCCGTTAGGCTGGATCCAACAGCTGGGCCTGAGCTCGTTTCTGTCGTAAAAACATAAGACTTTATGTTAATAAAGAATAAGCAGATATCTTGCCACACAACACCCGCAATCTGTACTACTGATAGGAATGCTACGTTGGGTGAACAATATTGTTCATACCCTGAGTGACTGTAGTAACCACACTTAACAAGAGTGATCTCCAACTTTAATAAGCTTTCCAATTCGAGAATCTGAATGGTTTTCAGAGAGATGTTTAAAAGGGGATTTAACTTCAGTGTTCCAAATTGTGTCATGTTTTGATGCAGTAAGTGAGGAGAAACCACTGTCTCTGGCAGAAGGCATCAGTAACCAGAGACCACAGCTTCAAGGATCCTGCAACAGAGGAACCAGAGGGAGGGCAAGGAAAATTCTTTACACACTTTCTCAACGTACAACTTGTTTATGAAGTGAGCTATCAGGATCTGGAATGCACTGGAGGCAAATTCAAACAAATCAGTAAAGGATGTGGGGAGACAGTGGAGAAGTGGGACTAGCTAAATTGTTTTTGCAAGGAACCAACAAGGATCTGAACACCCTCTGTGTAACCATACTACGATTCTAAGATAACTCTTTCTTAGCAATTTGCATGATCTAGCAAAGGGGAAGTCATACCCCTATGGTAATAAAAATTGAAACATAAGCCTCCAATCTCTTATGGCAGGAGTAGATATCCCCTTCTAATAATTAAACCTGAAACACCCAGGGAAGCTCGCCTCACCTTGCCTAATCTGTTCAACTGTTATGGAGGAGGGAAGGTTAAATGAAAAAAAATTCCTGATAGTCACTTTATAAGTAACAAGCAACAATTTATTTATTTAACCCTAACAGTGAAGAAATTAATAGAACTACTAACAAACTGAACAATTCCCCCCGACTCTTAACTATTCCCTAACTGACCTAAATTCTACTGGAAAGTTGTTCAAATAAACACAAGTCCCACTTATATAAACCCAGTTAATAAGACAACAATAAATCAAAACTTAATCTCTCCACGTTCGCACAGACTGTGTCTTCTGGAACGCTTTGCCTTCTCCAACCTTCCTTCTGTTGATCTCAAGTCACAAATGTCTTTCTTCTGCTGATCCTGGGGTCATGGATGTTTTCTCTATAATTTCCTCTGTAAGGACTCTGAGCTAAAAAATGCAGTGGTACCTTTGATGGTTTTTTTTTAGACAGCTTGATGATTTTTTTTGTGAGAGCCAAATTTATTTCTCAGATGGCAGATTTGCTTCCACTTCAGATGGCCGTTGGCTCTCCCCGATTTCCCAAACGTCCACATCTTTATACCCTTGATTAATTTCTTTACAATCATATTGGTTCTAGGTTGTTAACACCATCAGATTTAAATTTAATAGGCTTTTAGTATCTAAGGGCTTGGTTTAAATTGATTGCTAAATTTGGAAAGTCTTGTTATCTTGGTAAAAATGCTGCTTGAATGTTTGAAAAAAAATGTTTCAATTCGAGCACTCTCTGTGCATTTGCACTTTAAGGGGCAGTTCAGACATCCATTTTAACTCGAAGCACCAAAAAAAAACACCATTTTTTAAAGGGACAATGCAATGCTGTCCCCCATTTTACAATTTTACTTTCACCAACTTTGCAACACATAGAAGCAAAGTGCCGAGTAGCTATATGTTCCTTGATTCTACGCTGGGATAGCCATATCATTCGCTATCTTGTCACACCAGAAAGAGAAAGAGGTAGTTCAAACATAAGACCATAAGAACGGGGAGCAAGAGTAGGCCATTCAGCCCCTCGAGCCTGCTCCCCCATTTGATATGATCATGACTGATCTCATCTTGTCCACAGCTCTACTTTCCTGTCCGCTGTTCATGACCCTTCACCCCTTCAACCGTGTAGAGGACTGCTTGCCAAAGAAGTTAATCCGGGTGTTCCCCAACCAGAAACCATGGACGAGCTGGAAGATCCACTCCCTACTGAAGGCCACTTCTGAGGTGTTCAGGTCAGGTGACACTGACCTATCAAGGAAATCCAGATATGATCTTCACAAAGCCATCAGTGATGCCAAAAGATAATATCTAACTAAAGTACACTAAACTGGAGTCCCAGACTAATCACACAAACACTTGTTGACTGTAGCAAGGCTTACATAAAAAACAGGCTACAAAGTGAAGTTGACTACAGTCACAGGTAACAATGCATTCCTCCCCAGTGTGCTCAATGCATTCTGTGCTCACTTTGAACTGAAGGTCAGTGAAATGGTGTCACCCGCCCCACCTTCAACATCATTATTCCAACAAAACTCTCGTCTCCAAACTCTGAGACCTAGGACTCCGCTCCCCGCTCCCCGCTCTGCAACTGGATCCTTGACTTCCTGACCCACAAACCGCAATCAGTAAAGATAGACGACAACAACTCCTCCACAATAATCCCCAACACTGGTGTCCCACAAGGCTGATTACAGCCCCTAACTGTACTCCCTATACACTCACGGCTGTGTGGCCAAACTCCACACCAACCCCATTTACAAGTTTGCTGATGACACCACCATAGTGGGTCGGATCTCAAACAACGACAACACAATGTATGGAGAAGAGACAAACAGCTTAGTGGCATGGTGTAAAGACAACAATCTCTCTCTCAATGTCAGCAAAACAAAGGAACTGGGCACCAACTTCAGGAAGCGGAGTGGACGACACTCCCTGTCTGTGTCAATGGTGCTGAGGTGGAGATGGTCGAAAGCTTCAAGTTCCGGAGTAAATATCACCAACAATCCTGCCCTGGTCCATCCACATTGACACTATGGTCAAGAAAGCAAACCCATGCCTCTACATCCTCAGAAGGCTAAGGAAATTCGGCATGTCCACAATGACTCCTAACAACTTTTATAAATGCACCATAGAAAGCATTCTATGCAAATACATCACAGCTTGGTATGGCAACTGCTCTGCCCAAGACCGCAAGAAATTACAGAGAGTAGTGAACCCAGCCCAGTCCATCACAAAAACCAGCCTTCCATCCAGTGACTCTGTCTACACTTCCCACTGCTTCGGGAAAGCAGCCAACATAATCAAAGACCACCCCAACCTCAGTAATACTCTCTTCCACCCTCTTTCATCAGGCAGAAGATGCAAAAGTTTGAAAACACATACCAACAGATTCTTCCCTGCTGTTATCAGACTTACAAATGGACCTCTAACATATTAGAGTTGTTCTTTCATAGAATCTCAACAGAGTGGAAACAGGCCCTTCAACCCAACAAGTCCACACTGACCCTCAGAGCACCTCACCCAGATCCATCCCAATAACCCACCTAACCTACACGTCCCTGAACACTAAGGGCAATTTAGCATGGCCAGTCCACCTAACCTGCACATCTTTGGACTGTGAGAGGAAACCAGAGCACCCGGAGGAAACCTATGCAGACACGGGGAGAATGTGCAAACTCCACACAGACAGTCACCTGAGGGTGGGATCGAACCTGGGTCCCTGGTGCTGTGAGGAAGCAGTGCTAACCACTGAGTGACCGTGCCACCTCTGTAGCTGTAACACTATATTCTGTATTTTGTTTTATTACCCCGATGTGCTTCTGTAAGGTACGATTTGTCTGGATAGCATGCAAAACAATACTTTTCACTGTATCTCAGTACATGTGACAGTAATAAATCAAATCAAATCAAAACAACCCATTACTGACTAAAAATGTGTCTATCTCCTCCTGAAATTTACTCAATGTTCCAGCATCCACCACACGTTGTGTAGTGAATTCCAGATTCATGGCCTTTTGAGGGAAGTAATTTTCCTTATCTCAGTTTTAAATCTGCTACTCCTTATCCTAAAACTATGACCTCTCATTCTAGATTGCCCCACATGAGGAAACACCGTTTCTCCATCTACTCTGCCAATCCCCTTTAGCATCTTATATCCCTCAATTACACACAATGTGTATCCACTGCCTATTAATTGCTGCATTCCTGACTAACTGCAGGAAAGAATGATGCGACTGTTCGATACAGAGGAAATGTGGAGCAGTTTGTCTGATTCTCATCCATCTGCTGAATGACAATAATCATGAGGGAGAGGGGGTCCCTGCAAGTTACGCCGTGATGGAGACTCAGCCCTTCAAAAATGAACGATAATCCCAATGTACAAACACACCAGTTTAGTGACAAATGCACTGTTCATGGTTCTGTGTTTGATTTTTGTCAGACTGCTATTGATATTCACTGAACTTGATTGGTGAAGTCTGAGTGTAGACTCAGGGAAAAGTAAACCAGAGAAGTGACTGGAAGCCACTGCTGGAGTATGGGGTTCAAAAACAAAGTTGCTGGAAAAGCTCAGCAGGTCTGGCAGCATCTGTGGAGGAGAAAACAGAGTTAACGTTTCGGGTCCGGTGACCCTTCCT